ATATATATATTAATTGTATATATTTCTAAATAATAAATATATCTATCTTATAGATAGATATTAGCACTACTTTTTCCAAATGCCTCCTAGCCAGGTCCTGGTTTATAAGCTAAATCTCCCCCCAGCTGACATAATCTTAGGTTTCTTGTTATCTATACATGTTTACTTGTTTGTTAATATTATTCATTTCAGTTCTATTTCTTGGCAAGAAATTCTTACAAGCCAGTTCACGCAAAAATTATTTTCTTTCCTCTGTTTTAAATTAGTTATTGTTAAGTTTTACACTATTTTTTTTTGTCTTTGAAGAATAAAAGGACTACTCCAATCTAGTTTCCATATCCTACTTAATGATTTATGTATTTTTCTTTAGTATACTCTTTTCCCTAAATGCTTCCCAATTATTCATGCACAACTCCAGTTTCCTTGCTTCTGCTTTATGTGCATAAGGTCCAAATAAAAAAAAAAAGCCCTCAGATTAGTGATGAATGAATACTGATTTACACTGAACACAGCAAACCAGAAAGCAATCTTCAAGTGACATGTATTGTAAACAATCAAAAGGCTGTATATGACAGAGTTTCCCAGTCTTTCTTCTGAAATCATGAAAAGCAGCAGCCTACCTAGAATAAATGTGTTGCTAAAAATCTGAATCAAGACTGTAACTAACTTGATGGTTCTGTCAGGCAAGACGACAAATTCCCTGCCTCCAATTCACCCTGTGTACAGTGCATATTCAAATATAATTAACTCAGAGCTTGGTTTTTTGTTTGTTCGAGTTTTTTTTAAACAAACAATTTATCCCAGGCTCTGACCTTGGAAGTCCTTTGGGAAACAATTACATCATACCAGCAAATAATACTCAGTGGACTTTGGGAGCATTCACAAGACTCATCAATACAGAATCAGAGAATCATTATGGTTGGAAGAGACCTCAAAGATCATCAAGTCCAACCGTATACCCAGTGCTACCATGCCCACTAAACCCACCAAACCATGTCTCAAAGCGTCACATCTAAACGTTTTTTTGAACACCTCCAGGGATGGTGAGTCCACCACCTCCCTGGGGAGCCTGTTCCAATGCCTAAAATATCTTTAAATGAAAACTGTAAATGAAGCTCTTCAATGAAGAGTGTTCTTCATCCAAGGTGTTAAAGTTGAAAGCTAACACCCCTCTCTTTTCTTGAGATAAGGCTGCAAGATTAAATTATTTGCTGGCTGAAAATTGACAATGAAGATGTGGAAACAGAAAGGATCTTATATATTGAAAAGTACAAGAAACTACAAGGAAAAATATATGGTAACATAAAAAAAGAATAGAAATTTGGACATCCAACTTTTCATATGGGACCTAAAGAAGCACAGCGTTTCCAGGAAGTCTGAGGCATTAACCACCTTGCAAAATACGGTCCTCGCACTGGTTTCAATCTTCTGAAAATATTTAACTGCTAGTGGTATGACAACAAATGTTTTTCTTCTGCTTTACATCATTGTATTTTTCAGTCTGATAGCCAACTCTTTTTAGTAATGTCATACTATAGTATATCCTGCACATATTGAAACATCTGATTTTGGTTACATACACATTCTTTGCTTTACAAAGCAGTGTGCGCTTGTGGCACAACCATACTTCACCTCAGTAGAGAAAGACTACTAATGTTCCTATAGTTCTCAGAAAGCAAGTTTTCAGGCCTTTTTTTCTTCCTGCTACTCTTCTACATGAGGCTACTCTCCTGTCTCTCCAGTCTTCTGCTCTTTTTACAGATGGCCAAATTTCTAATGATGCTATACCACCACTGACCTTACCAGTAAGCTCACAACCATTAGCTAGAATTGAAGTCAATTTGCTACAGCATAATGAGCATTTAACCCTTAGAGGGGATTGGGGCTGGAGATAAGGGAGGGAAAGCAGGCCAAATAGTCAAACTATGCAGCAAGCCACCAGTTAAACAGACAACTCAGAAATAATTTGAATATGTGAAAATATTTTACAAAATGGCAACGGTTTTAAGTGTCCAGCACAGCAAAAGGTAAGATATAAGGGTTCATAACAATGTTTACATGGCTATTTTCCCACTGAGATCAAAAGAAAGTCAGTCACCCAAACATTTAAATATCTAACTGTTTATGACTCTGGTGCTTACTGCACAAGTTCTAATAAGAACTTGAGTCACTGGTAAGCTTTAAAAGAAAAGGGAAAGATAACTTCAGAAAGGCATTACGTCCACTAACAACTGATCCTGACAAAATGAACTTTACAATGGCAAATATTACTAATATGAGATAACGATTTAGCATCTTTAAAATGCTTATTGTGTGAGAAGCCTATTTTATTTTTTTCTAGGGGATATTCCACATCTGCAATGCAATTATGGTATGAACCATCCCTCCAACACCAATCTTAATGTTAAGATGTATCATAATTAAGACTTAAAAACTTTAAAGAAAACTTCAGTAAAGCTTAAGTTCACACTAAGTCAACCATACCCTAACTTGTGCATTACTCATTCCATATCAGCTGCTTACCAAGTATGTTATGCTCTTCAAATTTATGAAGTTGTTCATTTGAAGATCATTCAGTCTGCCAGGAGTAGCAATAACAATATCCACACCTTTGGTAACCACATCTATCTGTCCTTTTCGGCACCCACCACCATATATGCAAATACTAGGAGGAAAAAAAAAAGTTTTACAGAAGCAGCATATTAAGGTTCAACTGAAGTCAATCTTTTGGAAATAAATGCCATCATGTTGCTTCATTTTAAAAAGTATCATCTGGTATTACCAAGAGGAAGGAATATAGTAAGCGTGACTGACAGTATCACAGTAAATAATGGACTTAGCATTGATTGATACTCCCTCAACAGTTTTGCAATAGCTTTCTGCTGAAATTGCAGTGAAAGTAATCATGAAAGGGAGGAAGATAGCTATTAAGCTATGAGTATGTTTTGGGTTGTTCTGAAAATATTCACACCAAAAATACATGAACATATGAAATGATGCATGATTTTCTAAACAGTACCGTCAAAAGTCAGATGTTTTGCTGTTAAAACAATCAATGCACTTGATAAGGTATTAGGCTTACACACAAACTTAACACGCTCTGTAAAACTCCTCAGTATTTTTGGGAAGGAAGCAGAACATACATTTCAGTATTTGATGACTACAAGACTAATTCTGAATGCTATACAAAGTTACCAGAGAGCCTTAAAGGTAAATTTTGGAGTATAATAATGTCTGTTTAATAGCTTAAATGAAGATCTACACTCTCAGTAGGTTTCTGGATGGAACTAAATTGGGGGAGCGTCTATACACTGGAGGGCTAGACTGTTACTCAGAAGAACCACAAAACGCTAGAGAAATGGGCTGACAAGAATCCCACAAACTTTAACAAAAGCAAAGATGGGGATGGAATTTACCCCATGGCTGAGAGCCAGCATGCTAGAAGATGGCTTTGCAGAAAAGACTTGGGTGGGCAAGAAACTGAACATTATTCAGCAATGCAATTCCACAGAAAAGAAAGCCAGCTGTGTGCTATGTAAAAGGTAGCCAGCAGGTTGAGAGAACTCATTATTCCCTTCATTCAGGGAATGAAAAGGAGAAGGCTCAGGGAGATCTTATTGCTGTCCACATCTACCTAACAGCAAGGTGCTGAGAAGATGCAGCCAGACTCTTCTCAGCTGTCCACACAGGACAAGAAACAAGAAAGCTACAATACAGAGAACTCCAACTACATAAGAAATAGATTTTCACCATGACAGTAGTCAAAATAGGAATTCTAAAAACTAGGTAAATACAAACTCTGCATTTACTACCTTCCCCTCCTCTCTTAGTAAATGCAATTATTTTAGCAGGTGAATTAAGCCACAAGTAGTAGGGAGAAAAGTTATTTAACAAGTAAGTGAGAAGTAAGATTACCTTTTAATTCCTTTGTATGCATACTTCGAACACTCTGCCTCTACTTGAAGTGCCAGTTCTCGAGTGGGAGCAAGGACTAACATTCCTGGCCCCCCACGCTGATCTTTGGATCTGCAATAAAGCATCTTTAGAATGAGGGTATACAAGGCTAGGCAAAGTCCATCACATCTGACATCAAATATTTTAATACTGTTCTAGACTTTCTCAGTACACTTCTACTAACAATCTATGGTGACAAATTTGGTACTTATTCCATCAGGTTTGTAATTTTTTTCCAACTTATGATTTATTATCTTCTTTACTAGAACATCATCACATGGAGGGTGGGGGTGGGGGGAAGCATCCACAGCTAAAGAAGTCAGACACGTGAGCAGTCCTTACATTGGCTGTGAAGTCAAGTGAATGAATCCAGGCATTAAGTACGCTAATGTCTTCCCAGTACCAGTCTGTGCTATACCAATAAGATCAATTCCTTGGAGTACGATTGGCCATGCCTGGGACTAACATAAAACACAAATACTTAAATGTACTTGTCTCTTTAGCTTCAGTCAGAGAGTCATCAAAATTGAAGAAATACCTGAATTGGTGTAGGCTTTTGAAAACCAACTTTTCTTATATTAGCCATAATATCAGGATAATGCTCAAATACATCTTCAAATTTACAAACAGGATTGGGAATGCAGCGCTTTTCACCTTCTTTTAAGTCATCACAAATTATATTATTATTTTCTTTCCTGCATAGAATTAAAGAAGTGCAATTGCTTTAAAGTCTCGTTATCTGAAAAAGCTAACACAAAAGAATGCCTTTCTGACTTTTTTTTTTTTTTTTTAAATTCCTGGAACAACAAAAAACAAGTTCAGGCTCTTGAATGAGGCTTATAACTACTATTCTAATTTTTAAGAAGGTCTTATTATGGAAACACTTCTCCTGGAGGCATCAATTACCATTCTTTCTTAAGAACTACTAATTTGAAGTTATATATGGTCATTAACATGAAGTGCAGTCTCATCATATCAGACTTCAATTATACTCTGTTACAAATTAAATAACTGTAACAAGTTTTTAAACCTAAAGACAACCCAGAACTCAGAGGAATGGATCGAACTTCTTTGTCAGAACCCTATATTCTGACAAAAGCCTCCCCGAAATATTTTCAGAGTAGCTCCCTGGATGCTCTAGAAAAAACAAACAGAATAGTTTAGAAAAAACAATGTGGTCAATAAGTCAAGCTCCAAAACCAACCAAACAAAAACCCCACACAAACCCCAACAAACCCCAAAACACAACGCACACAAAAAGCTACACTAAGAACTGAGGTTCTGAGGCTGCCCCCTAATTAAGAGGCATCAATATGCATAAGTAGTTTATCTTCATTCCAGTCCTGTACTCTTCTGAAGATTCCATTCAGCAGTTTTACTTCAAGCAGAGTGTGGGCTAGGAAAAGAATGGGTAATTCAACCTTTCCTCATGTTTACAATTCCCCCTCCCTCAATTACTGTCTTTTTTTCCTTAAAGCAAACAGGTTAGATGAAAAAGGAAACACATTCCTTCCTCAATGCATGCTCTGAGCCTACAGAACAATGTTCTGTTGCTCCTGACTAGCTCTAACAATAACACATACATATACTTTAAGGAAACAGGTGTCAATTCCATGCTTCGCTCACTGTGGCAAGTCTTCTCTGGTGGGCGTGCAAAAGAAAAAAAAGACATCATGCAAAAACAAAAGTCATAACAGGTAACGCTTCAAGAATGTTCACCAATTTCATTAGAATTACTGAAAAGGGTTGAAACTATTACCAGGGCCTGAACTGAATCACTTGAAACAGATAATTTGCTTTTCTTGCAAAGTAATGATGTAGATTGCTGGATGGAAATGAATGCACACAATTAACTGAGGCTTGTACTCGCCAGGATGTACTTGTAAAGACAAGATAGACAGACAAGAAGACAACAGTAATAGAAGTTGAAATTTGTTTTGAAGATGGTATTGACCAAAACATATGGGGAAAAAACTGGCAGCCAAGAGGTATTCAACATGTGAAAAATCATATTTGGAAGGACCTACAAAACACGAACGTGCTGTCTCATGAAATGCAAAGAAACAGCCAAAAGTCAATGAACTGTCTGGATTTCCACACACACACACACCCCCCCCCTTCTGAAAGTCAACTAGATCAAACACTTAGAGAAGCAGTTAATCCCTAAAGTTAATTTTCCAAGCAACTAATAATACCTCATCTGCTAGTTATCATTTAATTCCTAAGGAAGAAGTCCTAAGAAGATTTAAGTTATTACAAGACCCTAACATTAAAAGTTTCTGTCTCAGTATTTCATTTCCCACTTCCTGGGCTTTGTACCTTAATAGTAATTTTTGCTAAGCAGATCATTCCCTGTAGAAATGATCTTACCGCCACAGTTCCACTTCTTCTTGTGACATAGATGCAGTCCTTGATGACTCTTTATAGAAGTTTTTCTCAATTGGAGGCAAGTCTTAAACAATCAGAAAAAATAAACTTGAGTCAGTAAGAAATGCTATAGATTCAGGGTAAGTCTGCTAAAGCTTAAGATGGAAATCCCAAAATCCAGACAGTGCCTTGTACTAGGATATTAGTCAAAAGTGGTGGAAGACTGCTGTGGTTCACGTAAAAGATGAAGGCTGAAACAAACACTTAAGTATCTGCAAAAGAACTACTTCCCCACATTTCAAGTACTAAAGTAATTTCTCCTAACATATATAGTAGAATATTGAACAATTCTCAGAGTTTTGCTGCTGCCACTTACAAAACAACAGCATTTTCAAAAGGGTGAAGTCAAAATACCAGTTGAGTAGCAAGTTTAAGTCTTCACACAGCAAGTACAGTGTGCTCCACGACCACGCTGAGAAATGCTGACACGGTCAATTCACCGCAAATACTTAACTACTTTGGACACTGAAAGATTCAGTCATCTCAACGCAAAAGTTAAAAACATTAAAGCATTCAACATCTTCATCATATAAAGATAAGTACCATACGATCAAAATTTTAAAACTAACCTGCCCACTTCATAGCTTCATATTTAGCTCTGTTTTCTCGAAGAGAGGCCCAGTTAATCACTGATCTCTTTGGGTTACTTTCAGGCTCGATAACATCCAAGGTTTTCCCTGTGTAGTACGAAAACGCTGCTGTTTGATGGAATCTGTTGCAGGGTGGGAGAGAACCCCTTCTTCAAAACAAACACCTTATTTTCTTTTTCTATTGTAAGGCCTTTTATGTGATTTTGAATAGACACAAAGCATTTAAATAGAAAATTCTTTCCTAGGTCTTAGCCTGAAACATCAGTAAAACCTGTACAAATCCAGTTCTGACAAAAAAGCAGCATTATAACACCTTTAGCTACCTAAAGAAAATAACGACAGGTTCCGAAAAGCTGCTCCTTGAGCTATAAACAAGGGTTGTTGTGCAGTAGGCTTTTGAAAAACTTGTGAATCCAGCAGATGATAAGCAGACAGAAAGCTTTATTTTTAACAGCTACAAGAGCAAGGTTTACTTCTAAAGCATCCAACGACACCACAATAAAGTCTCAACACAGTTACACTCGATACTCCTTTTCTGATGAGGTTAACGCTTCTTAGGAAAGAAAGGTTTTACACTGAAGACATAAATGGCAACACAACTACATATTAGTGGAAAAGCCAAAAGCATGGGGAAAAGAGTCACACATACTAAGGAAGCATTAACTATTTCTAGCCTCTTGAAACATACTCCTCCTCCTTCTAGAGCACTTCTAAAAATCAAAACTCGCAACCACTCTATTCCTTATTTTAACACTGGAACACAACTCTCAGATCCCTTCTTCCTCATCAATATCTCAGATCTACAACTATGGATAGTGTTTGCCTGTGCAAAAAGTCATTGGGAGCATGTACAAGATGAATACCAATAACATAAGCAGCATTTCAACATATAATAATTACTTATATATCCATGTAACAGACCAAGTTGATACAATAAAGCCTAGTAAAGTGAGGCATGATGTGCAACATCAAATCTTAAATGCAAACTTCCCATGAAAGTAGTAAGAAATCAGCATCACCCATGCTATAATCAGTATGTTTGCTCTACAGGCCACACTTATAAAAGCTTACTGAATTTTCATACTGCACAGATACTACATTAAAATGAAACTAGAACCAATACTTGTATTTTGGGGGATCCAGACTGATAATGCAAGAAACCAGGTAGTATAACATTCTGCATTCATTAAAATTGTTGAAAACACACAGGAACAGATTTTCACAGAAGCCTGGCAGTTTGAGGGCGGAAACCTGCTCATAGCTGAGAAATGAGGATGCCTTGATTTTTCTGTTTTAAGGAGGTATGCCATTGTCCAAGAACAAGGGTGAAAGTTAATCCACTTCAGTAAAATATTAATAATATAAAAACACTACAACAAACTACCAAATATAGGGAAAGACAATCCACAGTATTTTTTTTTAAACACATTTCTTACCTTTCTCAGTCCCACCTCTAATGTAGTTTTGTCCACATCTTCTGATAGCATCATCAATCAACATCTTGGCTTTGTTTTGCACAGCCACGCTGCCAAAAATCTTGACTTCAGCTTCATAGGTTCCCTTTACAACCTAGGTCCACAAAACCTTACTGAGTTGGTTTTTTTTTTTAGTACTGCAAAGACAATCATTATATAAGAACATAGAGTGAAAACAACTTTTGATTTTTTTTTTCTGAATTTCTTTTAGAAAGAGAAATAAATGCGTACTCTAAGAAAAAAAAAAACAGTAAGCTTTTCCTACTTTCACATATCAGTCAAATTGCACCCTCAATTCCACTTCCTTTTTACCAGTTGTTGTAAAAGAGTAGAATTACTACAGCTATTGCAACACCCTTCAACTTGCTGCAGTAATTCTGGTTTATATAGAAGCAAAATCAAGTATGTTCCCAACAGAGTCCAGGCCTTGACGACACACAGCACACGGTACCTTTATCCTGGAACCCGAAGAATCCTCAAGTTCTCTGATTTTAGTTCCGCCCCAACCTGTTATAAAGATACACTGTATGTTATTACAGAGATTTAGGCCGAACTGTCAAAAACTGCACGTGATAAGCGTTTTGGTTGTGACAAAAACCTAAGACCTTTATACAAGTGCATGTATCCACAAATAAAAGAACTTGTGGCACCAAACTGTTGGAAAATGCAGGTAACTTTTTTGGCAGTTAACCAAACACAAGGGGTTTGTGTGGGGGGAAAGCACTTCTGTTGAAGAGATGGAGCAGCAAAACCAGCTCAAGAGAGAGCCACCCTTCCTCCACATGACTAGAGAGAGGCTTCAGCCCACTTACAGACTGCTGGCCATGAGAACAGACATCAACCCAACCACTTTAGGGAGGAGAAGCTCAGCTGTCCTGGTGAGTGGGAGAGCTCCACTCTTCAGGCAGTGCCCTGCAAAGGCATCCTGCCACCCCCAGGTCAGAGAGATGTAAGGGAATCACAAGGGGCTGGGCCCCTTTCTGGGGCCAGGGAGAGGGAAGGCAGCGCTGCCCCTCCTCGGGGTACAGAGGGGCAGGGGCCCACACGAACAAACCTCTGCGCGGACGGGTCCTCTACCCCCCCCCCCCCCCGCTTACCTCAGCGGGCCAAGCACCCCGGGGGGCGGGGGTGCGGCCGTTATTACCTATGAGAGCCCCGACGAGGGAGCTATCGAGGTGGAAGCGGAGGGGTGCCGTGGCCGTCTCCTGC